GTCTTTCTATGTAACGCAGGCAGGACTCAGTGCCGATAGCTGCTCTTATTTCTTCATTTCTCTGCCTGTCTCGTCTTGTAATGTTAAGTGTTTTGCGGAGACATTTCATTTCGCATGCGGTGATTTTGCTTTCATGGGTTTTTCTTAAGGTCCAGGTCAAGCACTGATAACATAATGTTGGTATGAATATTGAGGTGATAAGCTGTCTCTTTGTGTCCATGCATATGTTTGGGTGAGATAGAAGGGGTGCGAGCTGGTAGGTGACAGCGTTGGCTTTTTGAGTTCGCATTTCTATTTCTCTGTCTATGGACCCGTTTTCAGAAAAAGTGCTGCCAAGATATTTAAACTCTTTCACCTGTTTCAGTTGTTTACTATTGACATGGATGTTCAGGGAACTATGGTTTCGGCTCACTTTCATAACTTCTGTTTTTGATGTGCTTATTTTCATGTTGAATTTCTCACAGGTGTTGTTGAGTTCGGTAGTGTGATTTTGGAGGCTTTGTTGGTCATGATGAATTAGACATTGATCGTCTGCGAACAGAAACTCATTTAGGCTTTCTGGGCTTTGGTTTACTTCCTGCGTTATTGTGTCCATATATATTATAAACAGGAGGGGAGATAGAAAGCATCCCTGTCGTACTCCAGATCTTACTTTGAACCAGTCTGTATTTCCTTCCTTCGTTCTTACTGAGCTTCTGCTGTTGGTATATAGAGCTCTGACATTATCTAACAATTGTCCTCTGACGCCATACTTTTCGAGTGTCTTCCAGAGTTTTGCATGGTTTACTCTGTCAAAAGCCTTCTCTTAGTCTATAAAGACGATGTTGGATTCTTTTTTGTGTTCTATTGTTTTCTCGCATATCTGTCGTAATGCGAATACGGCATCCGTGCATCCTCTTCCCTTGCGGAATCCAAACTAAGCTTTGCTCAGATTTCTCTGTACAATAGGTCTTATGCGCTGCTCTAGTATCTTTGCATACATTTTCCTGAGTGGCTTAACAATGAGATGCCTCTATATGTTGTGCAGTCGCGTTTGTTGCCCCTTTTTCCCATAATGGTACCGCTATGGCTTTCTGCCAGTCTTCTGGGCATGTTCTTTGTTCCTAGGCTCTGTTGAAAATACGCCTCAGCCACAGTATACAGGTGTTTCCACAAGCTCTTATGGCTTCCGCTATGATGTCATCTGCTCCTGGGGCTTTGTTCTTGGGACTGGTCTTGATTGCCTTTTCTATTTCGCTCGGAAGTATTGGTGGATCTGTTTGATTTCCATAGGATGGTTGGAACTCTACTTGTCCGTGACAAGCGTCTGGGTTGAGCAGTTCTTTGAAGTAATTTCCCCATCTTTTCTTGATTGCATGTTTGCCGAGAATGACGTTTCCCTTTTTATCATTTATAATGCATGTCGGGTTGTATGGGTCTTTCCCTATCTGCATGCTCTTGACACTTTAAAAAAATTCTCTTGGGCTTTCCTTACAGATTTTGGTCAGTTTCTCGCCATATATTTTCCATGCATTTTCTTTGGCAGTTTTGATGCTTTCCTGTATTCTATATTGTCTTCTTCGGTCTTTGACTTCTGCCATTTCTTGAATTTCGTCTTTTTCATTCGAATTGCTTCTTTGGTTTCATCATTCCACCAGCATGTTATTCTGCCTTTGTTTCCTCCTATTCTTTTGGTGCCACAACAGTTTTTTTTAGTATTTCTGACAGGGATTTTTTTAAATATTTGCCATCCGTCTTCTATGTCCTTGCTCTCAGGTGACAGTTTGAAGTACTCTTTGGTAATGTCATTCTCGACTGCTTTTTTATGTCTAATTTTCTTATGTTAGTCGTGGTTTTTCCCCTGTTCTTCTTTGTTTGCTTTACGTTGTTGGTTGTGAGAGTAAGTATCACAGGTCTATGGTCCGTGTCGATGATGTAGTTTGGAACCGCTCTCGAATCTTTGGCTGTATGTCTTTGTTTTCTGCGTATCAGGATGAAATCAAATTGTGAAGCATGGTTCAGGTCACTCCATTTGTACCAGGTCTTGATTGGCTTTGTCTATGTTGGAAAAATGTGTTCGTAATCATCATGTCGTGCTCAGCGCATAGGTTTAGTATCATTTCTCCATTGCTGTTGCAGTCTGTATCTTTATCGCTGTGGGGTCCCAAGTACTCTTCCCATGGGGTTCTTCTTCGTCCGACTCTGCCATTTTAATCTCCCAAGATAAACATATCTTCTTTGTTCTTGATGGTGTTAATATGGTCACTCAGGTCTTGGAAATATGATTGTCTATCTTCCTCTGTATAGCTGTCGTTACAGTGAGCGTATGTTTGGATGTACGTATTTGTTTTGCCACCCTCTATGAGTTTTATGCTCACTATTCTCTCTGAGATCTGGTTGATTTCATAGATTGTATCCATTTTGGCTGGGTGTATGATGAAAGCTACACCATGTTTGGCTCTCTCATTTTCAGGTGCTCCGCTCCAGATCAGTAGGTAGCCTTTATGGATCAGCTTGCTGTGGTTGCCTCTCTTCCTTATGTCTGACGAGCCCATGATTGCTATTTACTTTCTTTCCATGAAATCCACTATTTCTGGTTCTCTGTCTCCAAGTCCGCTGACATTCCATGTGCCTACTTTAATCGTTGTTCTAGCTCGCTGTCCATTTACTTTTCCAGGTCGTTATCCGTTTGAATCTATCCGTGTTTTCTCCTTTGATTTTTTCGTAGCAGTAATTATCCGCCGTCGGCTTGCTAGGCCAGTCACGGTTTCACCAGAGCCCCTTTAGCCAGCAACGTTTCGGGGTGACCCGGGTCGGCCTTCACGGCTAGCGTAACGCCTCAGTGACATAAAGTCACACCGTACTTCCCCCAGACCCAGCTATCCCCTACTTTGTCCTGTTTCCACCTCCCCCGACGAGGACGAAGGGTTGGACTTTTTGTCGTTATCAAAACATTCAAAAACTACATTTGTAAAAGCTTGACATATAGTGAAACTCAAAAATTGTTTTTACTTTTTAAAGGTTTAGTAAGGTCCTATGGCGCTCGCAACTGCATAAGGTCATATGAGCGCCAAGGGGTGGATGTCAACAGAGAAGTCCAAACGGGGAATCAGGCTTATCTGCTCTCCTCTCTAGCCTCAACAGCACAAAGTTTGTTGGACTATCAAAGCATCCTGGAAATAGCAGTTCACAAGAGAGTGACACACTTACAAAAAAAGTAGAGGAAAAATGATGATAGTAAGGATGAGGAAAGAAAAAGCAGCAGTTCCCTTATTATGTTGCTCAGGCACAGTATGAGCATGACATAGATATATCAGCCCATTTACAATTCTACTGTGCATAAGAACATGCTAATATCCCTCCTTTGGGAATGACCTAAAGACATCTTATGTTAGTAGCACTGCGCTGGTGGGGGGGGGGGGATTTAAGGACGATGATCAGGTGATTGCAATTTAAAGTTTCTGTTGGACGACACTATAATAATAATAATATGTGTGGACGTAATCAAGATTTTCAAAGAATTGTATTCGAAAAAAACTTGATATGATGTGAAACTCAAAATTGTTTACATCAAATTTCTCTAAACTAGGCACTGAACAGATAGAACTAAGTAATTCTGATGTAGCGAAGTGTTAGGCATGCGACGTCAAAATACGTTATTGTCGTTACATAAAATTAGCAGGGTGCATGAAACGTCAAAACAACACGTAATTTTTAAAACCAAAAAGCCACCACTGTACAGATGTTGTCAAAATACATTATTATTAACTGTTTTTCCACAAACCGAGTTTTGTGAAAGTGACGTCAAAATACGTTCCCATCGCATCTGGAAAATGAGCGGCATTGTGGAGAAATCAGGCGCTCGTCAAAACATTGAAACCGAAAAAACTCATTTTTTGACATCTCAACATCTTTTATATCCCCATTTTAAACAATTTACAGAAAAACGTTGATCAAAAGCACAAAAATGCAAATTTGCAGTTGCAATGAACTATCCAGCTTTAAAAGTTACCTAACTTCGATGGCCATATTCTCGCTAATTTTACCCCTGACACCATGTAATCTCAACCTCATTCAATTGCAAATTATATTAGTATTTCTTCCCCAAGAACAAGTCAAGTGAACAGGGTTTAAGATTCTACAAATAACTCTATATTATGCCAACAAATTGACGAGCGCTTGAATCCACCGCGTTGTGACACAAAAGGCCTTGACGCCAGACAAAGCACATTCTTCCTATTAACAGGACCTTTGTGAACTGAGCTGGGCAACATTGTAGTTCTTATTACAAATTCATACTAACTGTTGGCTAATGGGGGTCCTGACGCTACTGACAACGCTGTAAACATTGACGTTTCTGTGCTTCAAAGGCAGCCAGAGTTGATTAGTGACCACCATCCCCTCCCCTCCTAATGGAGGGCTGATGGGAGGATTGGAGATATACAAAGTAATGCTGTTTGGCAGAAGGTACAAAGCAACGGGGGGTGGAGAAGCGGTGCAAAGGAAATAAACGAAGTAAGGCCGAAAAGATTAAAGGGAAAATTGAAAAGGGAAAGGAGCAATGAATAAAATATTTATGAAACAGGTGCATATAAACAGTGTATATACACATGGAAGGAAAAAGAAAGACAAAAGTAACAGTGATAAAGGGAAAATGAAAGAAGGAATTACAACAACAACAACTACAACAAAATAAATGAAAGAATGCTTGTAACGAAAATGTTAGAAGAAATAAAAGAATAAATAAGTAAACGAATGAATGAAGAGGGGCAATCTGACCTGAAAGAGAAGGAAGGAATGAGGGGGATAACTCTGGATAAGAACTTCCCTCGTAGTAAAGGAGTGAATGATGAAGTGAATGAATGAAGAGGAAGAATCAGACATCACAGAGAAGGAACGAAGGAAGAGATGAGAACTGACCTCATAATGATCAAATGAATGATGAAAAAAATTAATGAATGAAGAGGTAAAAATCAGATATCACAGAGAAGGAAGGAAGAAAGGAAGCGATGAGAACTGACCTCAAAGTATTGAGCACGTCGTCACTACTCTGGTAGCTGGTGCTGTCGTCGAAACCCCTCCTGTTGACGTGACGTAACGCCTGATGTCGTGTCCCTCTCACAGCCCTCCTCGGGTCGATGTATCCCTCCCCATACCCGCCGTCTTCCTCCTCTACCTCCTTTATCCTTCCTCGATGACCGATGCCCCGATTCTCCTCACTGGAGTCCGAGCGCTCTGTTGAGTGACCTCGCCGAGCGTCCAGAAGCTGCTCGGCTCTGTTCAGAACGTTTGCTCTAGACGCACGCTTGTCCTGGGGGTTGTATCCGTTAACAACGTCAAATTTGTACCCAGGTTGACTGTTGATTCTGAAGTCTGATCTCCCTCGGTGGGACCCTTGCTCGGGGGCAAGAGGGTGAGGTGTTAATAAGGCAGGGGAGGGAACCAAGAAAGTTTTACTGTCGATGATTCTGTCTCCAGAGTCGTCGTTCCTGAACGTGTCTAGCTGGCTTATTCCCCCTTCTCGGATTGTGCTCAGCTGGGAGGGTACGCTGGTGAATCGGTCGTAGTCAATCTGAGACATGGAGTACAACGGCTGCTTGTCGTGGTAACTACTGCCACCAGGTCCCATCTGGTAGTTTTGAACTGCGGACCCCTGGAAGCTGGTCCCATGGTGTTGGTTGAAGTCTAGGGGGTCTGCACCGCCTGGGTGTTGAGAGGCCGGTTGGGAAGGGTTGTAGTATTGCTCATGTTGTTGTTGCTGTTGCTGTTGGTTGTGGTGGTATTGCTGCAACTGATGCGGATGGTGTTGTAGATTTTGATGAGGTTGTTGCTGCGGCTGTTGCATGTGGTGCTGGTTTTGTGCATTGTCTGAGAATGCTTCACGAACGTTCGGATGTTGTGGGTACCCTGGAGCCACGGCTGAAGTAAAAGTCGAGTTTGGAATCACTTGATGTGTCAAATTTGCTCCTTCCATTTGAGATCTGCCATGGTTCTCTGGACCATTCGTGTTATTATACATATTGTTATAAACTCCACCATTGTTGTTGTTGTTACTGTTGTTGTTGGGGAATGGGTTCTTGTTGCCACCATCGCTGGTGTTGTTTCCTGGAGGAGCACCTTGAGGCACAAACAGCTGTCTGTACATGTCTCTGTCTACTGCGTGTTTGTCAATGGGGTACACATCACCACCGCTGCGTAGTTCCACAGCCTCGTCAGAACTACGGTGATGCCGCGGACCGTTACCACCACCACCACCACCACCACCGACACCATTATCGTCATAGTCGTCGTCACTTTTATCCACAACCACAAGCTTCAACCCACCGCCCTGGTCTTCTGGTTCGTCTGGGTTTCCGGGGGACGGGTATGGCATACCGGGCGGGCCAATATCGTCAAACATGCTGGCAGAGACAGCGTGGCCATTGTCCGCCGGCGGACGAGAGTGGCCCGTTGGAGAATTCTGCTGGATGAAGTTCCCGTGGTCTCTTCCCACACGCCGGTGTCTCTCGGGGTGCTGACTACCCCGGGGGCTCAAGTCTGGGGAGAGGTTGTAGTTGCCGTGAGTGTCCAGGACTGTCTGGTGGGCGTTTGGCGGGGCCTGTAAGTACTCGGGGGTGTTGTTGTTGTTGTTGTTGTTGTTGTTGCTGTTGCTGTGGTTACTCAAGTGGTGAGATGGGTAGTGGGTGTTCACGATGGGTGGGAGAGTAGTGGGGTCGTATCCGTTTGGATAATTCGCTTTTACTTGCTCTTGGGGCGTCGTGTTGTAACCTTTGTGGAACGACGACAGGTTAGGGTCCTGGTTTACCCCGTAGTTTTGATGATGCTGTTGTAGCTGTTGCGGTTGTTGTTGATGTTGATGGTCCGGCTGTAGCTCCTGAAACTGTTGCTGTTGTGGTAGTTGGGACGGCTGGTCGGAATCTGGTCGAATCTGAAGACCATCCTGTCCCAGGCGGAGAGTGACTTGACTGTTTCTCTTCTGCTCGTCTCTCGCCTGGGCCTGCGCCTGAGAGGGGGGGGGGGATAAAAAGGGGAAGGTCAAAGGCGAATAATAACCATAACAATAACAATAGCAATGAAAATAACAACAATAACAATAAAAATAATTTTTGAAAAAAAAATAAAAACAATAATAATAATAATGATAATAATAACTACAACTACTACTACTACTAATGATAACAACAACAGCATCAACAGCAGCAACAACAATCACAATAATAATAATAATAAAAATAATAATGATAATATTAATAGTTTAAAAAATAACAACGACAATAATAATAATAATAGCAATAACAATAAAAATACCCCTACTATTATTATTATTGTTACTACTACTACTACTACTACTACTACTACTACTACTACTACTACTACTACTACTACTACTACTACTACTACTACTACTACTACTACTACTACTACTACTACTACTACTACTACTACTACTACTACTACTACTACTACGCTCTCCAAGCTCTCTACACTTTACAACTACTATTACCCTGCCGACCCTTGATCATTCGAAAACATTCTCAGCTTTCCGAGAAGCCGACCCTTGATCATTCGAAAACATTCTCAGCTTTCCGAGAAGCAAACAGTGCAAGCTGCGGATTGCACGCACACAGACATTAACAAACGAAAGATCTTTGGCCGGTTACAGGTTAGAGAACATCTCATTGGTGGGTTAGTGTATGAAAGAAGGAACGATATTTTTAGATATAATACATAATAAAATACATAGATAGATAGATAGATAGATAGATAGATAGATAGATAGATAGATAGATAGATAGATAGATAGATAGATAGATAGATAGATAGATAGATAGATAGATAGATAGATAGAGAAAGAGAGAAAGAAAGAGAGAGAGGGAGGGAGAGAGAGGAAGAGAGAGAGGGAGAGAGAGGGAGGGAGAGAGAGGAAGAGAGAGAGAGAGAGAGAGAGAGAGAGAGAGAGAGAGAGAGAGAGAGAGAGAGAAAGAGAGAGAGAGAGAGGTGTAGCGTCCTCCAACTTCCCCTCGAGACTGACACAAACCCAGGCATTTGATCTATTTTGTCGCCCCACTAGAAACAAGGTAGGTAATAATGGAGAAATGCTACTGCAAGCGGCACACAGATTTAACCCTGAAGATTTCATTATGTGCTGGCCAGTTCAATTCAGCTGATACACTGTGGCGTGAACAGGGTTTTAATGAACGTGAGCTGCTTGGACAATTTTCAGGGCTCTGTTTCAACACTAGAAATGTTTCCCATTGAAGACTGAAGCAAAATTTAGAGGTGCCGGGCTCTTGAAAAACATCACAGCGTCAACTTGTGTTATGGATAAGGATGTGGTTTCTTTCTTTCTATAAAAAAAGGTCATTAGAACTGATTGTACCACAATTATACCGTGGTGCCCATTCAGCATTCATACTCACAGAACACCAGTTTTTTGTTGTTGTTAAAAAAAAAAAAAAATGGGAAGTATTTATAGTTAAAGGGGTTGTAGCACCAACGCAAACTTAACTTTCATTCGATGTCAACTGCCGTCTAAGGAGCATAAAGGATAAATTAACGTTGTTTGCTTTATTATGTTCTTCAGCTAGGGTCTCCTGTATGCATACGGCTTTCGAAGAATGATTTTTGGTTCCCATGGAGTTGGACAATTGGGCTTTTTTTTCGAAGTGACTGTTTCTCAGAACACTCGGGAAAATAAAGTTGAACTTTATTTCTCCTAACGGTTTTTGATCTCGAGATTTTTTGGTTATGTGCGAGATTTAGGCGTCATCCTTTCATTCTGCCATTCTGCGAGGACTGGGAGGTATTTTTCGCATCGAATTCAATTTCTAGAGCTAGAGGCTTTTAAATGTTTGAATATTCAGATACTTCAGTTGCGGTTGGGGCAACGTTCCCAGACTATACTTTATTTGAAAATACCTTCAAACGGTACTTCGAGAAAACAAGACTGCTCGACATTGACAGTAATCTATTTTGCATTTAGTCACCAAACAAAAACTAAAATCCTTCATTAAAAAATCCCTT